CTACGCTTATCTATAGAAAATATTAGAAGTTCTAAACTCTCTCTTTTAATTTTTACTTTTTCTCTTTACTTTTCTTCTTCTCTGAAAACATATCGATCCAAATTGGTTCTTAAAACTAAAATATCAAATTCAAGTATAATGTATTTTATTTAATTTAATTTATTGTATACAAATTTATATTTAAAAAAAAATAAGGAAATTGTATTCAGAAAATTTTACTGTACATGTTAGATAATTTCTATCTTTTCTAGACGTCTCACAATCAACAGCAAAAACGTGTAAAATATCAAATTTCGAAATGTGCAGTTGTTAAATTATGTAACGATCCTTTTGTCAGCTGATAGGAATTGTTGATTGTTTGCCTAAATATTCGCACGAAATCTATCATGTGATTCTTGCTCATCTCCTTGGTGTTTGGAAAAGTTATTAAGACGGTTATTATTTCGTGCTAATTCTATTTATGAAGCGGCAGGAAATCTCCAAAATTAACATTCGTTGTTTACACCTGACAAATATTTGTCTAGAAATTAACAATATCTACGTCATTCCAGCGAAATAAACATTTAAAAAATGAATTCGATACTCTTTACAGTTGTTTAGATGTTTTGCCAGGTCTGCGATTGCGCATCATAGAGCACGTGCCACGATGTCGAATTGTCACGAGGGAACATTAATTAATTCTTATCAAATCTCGTGACTTGTCCAATCCAATATTTATAGAGCAAAACCGAGTAACACATAACGATATCTTATTGTCTTTTGTCATCTCCTATCACGTAAATACTTGACTTATTATCTCACCTTATCGCGTCAATTATCTGCACAAATCCAGTTTGAGAGTTACTTAGATACAAATAATTTAATTACCTGTATATTAAAATACAATCATGTGTCGAAAATAATCATAAAAAGGATAACTAATATACTTGCGCCTTTGTCAAACGCATATCGTGTTAAATTCGCAGACCTTGTTTTGAAAAAGGAACGGACGAAAAGTAGGGCAAGGTAACAAACAACGATTTGTTGACAAGCAATCGCGTTCGAGTAATCAACGATATTTAAATCAACGTGCGTTAAAACGAATTGTCATTCAATAAGCGAGCGTTGTTTATCGACGCGTCTTTCTCGCGACCTATCGTCCGCACTCGTATATATATTGCCGTCGTGTTTACGGATGATTCATTATTCGAAACTCGCCGCTCCGAGCCGCTCCCGGTTTCGAGTGAAGTTACGAGTCAGCGCGGCGTCAGTCGATCATTCTGTTCGGCTGGAAATGACGACGAGCGCGCAAAAGATTAGATCGCGATCGACTTCGCTGCTCCTTACGATCGATTCAGCTGCTCTCATGCACATCGTCACGCATCCGATACGTGAACACCACCCGCCCGGCTGTTTCTGCAAAGCGGACAAACAGCGAAGGGCCGTTGACCGTGTAGTTGGCTGCCTCGATTCATCTCAACAGCAACCGGGAGATAAAAGTCCCGTGTCTAAAAATAAATGCAGCGTAGAAAAAAAAACGGCATATTCACGCACGCTCGTCCCATCCTTGGTCGTTTGTTTTACTTACGGCCTATCGTTAGTGTTAGATCGGAGAGAGGGAGAGATGTTACGAAACATAATGACAAAAATATTTGATATAGCTTCACATTTATTTCCAATTTAAAATTCGATACTTGATTGATTATCTTGAATCTATTTAGGAAAGTCGTTGAGTGAATATAAGATAAATTATGATGGTACTCTTATTAGTTGATACGATTGTTCATGAGTAGGCTTATGTGAAAGGATGACATAATGCACGCGAAACCGCGGTATAAAAAAAAAAAAACAGATTGCATACGGAAACCGGATAGAGATTTTCTTTGTCAAGTTCATTCTAATTGGAGAACGCAAAGTCCACCGATACACTTCGGCTGCGAGTGCACTTTGTTCGATCGAACACATCAGCAGACTACGATGTTTTTTGTTCCACGTGCCAAACGGTCACGGCTCCGTTCTATGAATATCTATTGTTTTATAACAAGCGTATATTGGACGCGATTGCTTTCTTCATTTCCGAATAATGAATCGTGCATAAACATGTCGGCAAAATATAGCAGTGCGGTCGACAGGTCGCGATATACTTTCCATTTGGGGACATAAATTGACACAAGTGCCATTCTACATATATTTGTTACTTTCTGAACGCCAAGGAAGATAGAATGATTTGTTTCATTAAATGGGAAGCACCCAAAGAAGTGCGAAGCGATTTGGCCGAAGAGTTGAGCTTTTTAGCTATTCTCCGTTTTTAATAGATAGAAAAAATGTTCGACTAACCGCTCTGATTTTTGATGGTATTTATTTTTTAAATAGTTTTAACAAATGACGGTGGTATATCTTGAATCTTGAAATAGGTCATTCGATTTGATTTTTCTGCCGTAGATTTCTTTTCGAAAACTAGAAAAAGTCGACATGTGTATTTGCTCGAAGAGTAAGTTGATTGGCGCTCATATCGCTTGATTGAATGCGTACCTACTATTAATACGATTCACGATATGATGATCATCTGTATATTACGTTTTTACTATTGAAACTATTTCTTGGACATTGGTCCAAATCCGGAGGCGATGGCAACAGTGATTGTGATGCGAGCTCCAATGCGTGCAATTGATTACGTGAATCTTTTACATCGGTACTTTTCCACTGGAAAAACCTGTTAAAGACGATTGCTTAAGCTCAACTGTTGATCAGTGTAACTATTTTTTTTACTTTTCCGATCGTGCATCCAGCGAGATCCGTTACTCGCCATTCACACCTGCGCTTCATGCATTATAAAATGTGCTTTGTGAAAGTAGACATAACAGAGAGTTATACTTTATTCTTATGTAAGGAGGATATTGAAGAATATGTTCTCATAGATTAATGCCTATTTCTACTATTTATTTTTAATCTCGGTTTAATTAACTCTTTAGCTTTTTTTAGTTTTAAGAAAAAGATGAAGCTCGAATTGAATCGAGATTAAAGTTATCACAGCAGAGACCATAAGGCCATAATAATGTTATAAGACAGAAGCAAATCCAATATGTTGATTTTCTTACTACTTACGTCTTACCGTTTAAGTTTTTCTGTGTACCATGGCCTTGTGGGTCGAAAAACGCGAGTAGAAAAATGCTGGAATCTGGATATGTATACTGCAAGCACCAACTCGAGTTAACTCATAGCACGAGACAATCGTAATGGACTACTTAGGCTCAGTTTCACAACTGACGGTTAATTCTTAACTGAAGTTCAACTTATTCATTATCTCTTTTCAATTCTAGAATTGGAAAAATATGAGAAATAAGTTGAGCCTCGGTTAAAAGTTAACCATAAGTTGTGAAACTGGGCCTTAATTGATTAATTATTCATCGATTCATAATACCAATCGGCGTCGCTGTAAAACAACTGCTTCTGATTTTCTCATTTCTGACGTATACTTTCGCATCCGTGAATTTATCACATTTTCTGAATACCGATTATTTTACGTCATTTTCCAAAGAGGTATTTAACTTAGAATGGTATATAAATTATTAATACAAAAAACGAATGAACGTGGAATATCTGCAGATGAATTCGTAGAATCAATTAATTGTGTATCTTTTCGTAGACGATCTTACGTAAGCATTACAGCTAATTAGTGAATGATTCATCGTCACTGAGAATCATTCACCTCATTTTATTAGCGGAAATTAAACAAGATACATTATAATTTACGATCTAAAACGATCTAAAATTGAATTCCTACAACAATTTTTTTGCAATTTTTTTAAAGTACACAATTTAAAACACACAAAGCATGATAAAACATAGCACTGATGAAATAAAACATTAACAATAATAAAGGAAATTTTATCGTTTTAAAAATTGCTTTAATCCTGTAGTTTTTTTTTTTCTAAATTATCCATTAATATTTTTTTTGTTTGGTTATCTAATCGCATAGTTGAGTCAGAGAACGAGAATTGAATTTGAGTTTGTTCTTTTGCATAGGCGAAGTGAAGATTAGATTGAAGCAATTAAAATGTTCCGTCGTTACGAAACGTTCGTTCACCGCGTTCGCCAAATGAACCGCATGTGATTTACAACTTGCGTAATGTGTCTTAATCGCCGACGGTCACATACATACATTTTGTTGTATAATCGCTTGTACCTCAGATAAGAGTGCAAGTGCACGTTACAATAATTACGGGCGAATACTTGCAAGCAAATAAGTATCAATAAATCATTCGTGCCATCCTATTTTTATGCTCTCTGTCTCTCTTTCTCTTTCTAACTGTAATGCGTTTATTTGCTTCAATCTCATATGTGCATCGTCAGTTGTGCATAAAACTTTGCAAATAAGATTTTCAGAAATATATGGATATTTTCCAATTTTGTTTCGAGTTTTCTTATGTTTTCTCCCAACTGAAAAAAGTGGACTTATTTTAATAAAGCATAACTTGATTTATTGTTAGTGTTTTTATCCAAGGAAAACAAGAAAGTCATAGTAATGTCAATTTTATGTTATATTGGCCGATTATTGATTGAATACCTCTATGTCATTTTTTTTTATAATTCGACACATATTTAATCCTACAAACTACGCGCCGAATTTAATTTTTAGTTTCGAAACGCAATCCTATCCAATCATAAATCAATCAATATGACATTATTTTCCTCTTTGTTCTTCTCGGATAGAAATCAAGAATTTCCCAATTTTTGGAAGGTCCCGGCAAAATTAACTGGAAAATCATTGGGAACCAACATCAGGGCACGTATAAAATTGTTCGGAATGGATTTCGATTGGAATTGTGCAATTATTCCCTAGATCTATTGTATTTTCTATGGAGAACAGAATAATTCCTATCAGAATCTATTCCAAATAACTCTATAATACATGTTCTATTCTTCAGTCTACCATACTAAACGCGCGACACGCGGTCTGCACTCTGACTTATCGGAATACAACACGAACATGAATGCCGGCGTGAAAATAAGCGGAATTAAAGAAAGCAAGACATATGCGGGAGAGCACATGACTCGGATTGATAGCGTAAACTCGTGACCACGATAAATAATGTGTACAATTTTATCGGCCACAACTGGTCATATACGTGTTCAGTCCTTCGCCAGCATGCCCAGAAACAGGAATTACGAAACATTCGCCAATGTCGGCGGGACAGACATATCGTCGCCATCAACATCCCAGTAAGTATCCAGTACTTAAACGCCGATTATTTTTGCTCGTTCTTTTCATTGTTATCAATGTCGTCGTGATGTCGTTGTCGTGGCCGCTATATTATCCCCGATTTGAAATGTAAACGGTGCACATGTATGCACTAACGCTTACGATATCAATGTGCCAATTCGATTTGGATAAGATAAGAATGGGCTATTGCCTGTCGTTAATCGCAGTTACTAAATGTTTTTCCGTACACTACATTATTCTATGTTCAAAGTCCGCAATTTGTCTTCGTACATTTTGGCTAATACTTTTAATTTTTATGATTGCTAATATAGATATTGTTTTTTAATGATTCCTTATTTATTGATTTTCCTTCTTCTTTCATTGTAGCAATCGTCTTTTATGTGGGATCTTCGCTTTTCATAAAATTCTATTACAATTATTTATAATTACGCTACGTATCTGTGTCTCGAATTGGTGCCTAAAAGATCAAAGACATGCATCATAAATACTATTACAAAATATTAAACACTCAGAATAATAATGAGCAAAACCCAAAATGTAGAATTCGAAAAATTACAAGACGTTTAGATCATTCAGTTCTTTATGGTAGGATTATAAAAAATTATACCGTCGATGTTGTTTAATTTTTTAATACATTAAATATGTAAAAACTACATATAATGTAAACGAGCGCGCTTTTTTGCAATTCCGTCAAGAATTCTCATGCTGCTCGCACGGTCTAATCAAACACACACACATATATATACATATACATATATATATATATAATATATATAACTCCGCATACGTATATACTATATGTGACGATTACAGTGTTTGTATAAATCCGCGTGACCGAGTGTGTTTGCAGACCGAGGTTATCTTGCCGTCTCTGTCAGATTCCATTTACCGTAGGCGCGTGATTTGTCATGCTCAAATTTGATAATATATAATCGTCGGACGCAATGGTATTGATACATTGTATTCTGATATACTGCCAGTACTAAAAGTTTATCGTATATATAACGTAAACTTCCAGTACTGACAGTGTATATTGGAATACGGCCATGATAATGCCGATGTGGAAATGTGGCCAAAAATATGAACCAATTAACACAAATGAGCTGGTATAATCACATGATGGATTCCTAGATAGTTTAATATCATTCTGAGTAACATTAAAATCATAAATACCATTTCATAATTATACTTTATTACATCAAATTATATTAAATATATTAAATACAAATACACGTTTAGCCCTTAAAATACGTACCTACATAAAAAATTTGATTTAATTATATATATCAGATTATATATCTATTTGAGAATCGTATTTAAAATTATTTTATCTGTTACTACGCAACAAATGTTACGCTCATCTCGATTTTTTATTTTATTCTTATTTTTCTTTACTGCTTAATTAATCTTTCGACTCTCATACTGATTTTCCAGACATGAGTTCCCAAGTGCGGCAAGCAGCTAATCGTAAAAGTTTTCTGTGTAATAGTCTGTTTATGATATTAAAAGTTATATTAAAATTTAGTAAATAAACATACATAAATATATTACAATGGCATTAATTTTTATTTATAAAATTTTTATCTATAAAAATTATAAAAATATTTTTGCAGAATTATTCAGAAAAGATGTTTTGGACGAGTGATTCGTTTCGTTTGGGAATCGAAAGATTAAACTTTGAGATGCTATAATACTTTCTTATCGCAGAGAATATCGAGAATGATATGTTGAGAAGTCGAGTATCGAGTAAATATTAAATAATCTTCGCGGTTCTGAGAGATTGCTCGTCGTTGTAATTATTTCCCATTCGACCTTATCGCACACTTATAAGTGCTTACGTTACATCGTTGTATCATTATATCATTATTTTTTTATCGTGCTCGAGTTCTCGATTTTTACATGGAGATTGATAAATTTCCATTTGCGAGTCAATTCTCTTTATTGAAGCGACTTTTGCATTTATGCTTTTGGAAACTATGTCTCCGATCTACAATTTTTCTAACGTATTTTTTCATGATCACATTCATCATGTAGAATAGATTCTTTACCGCAAGATCTCTCACCACGATGATGATGTAATGAATTTCTCAAATGCAAAAGACGGCACGTAGAATAAAGGTTATAGTAATGGCACATAAAAATACGTAAAGCAAAAAAAAGATAAACAATAAGCGAATTAGCCAATCACCAGAGACATAAGGCAATAACGTAAGCGAATTACACAATGTTGATTTGCTTACTGCTTACATCTAAACTTGTGCAAATTTTCTACGCCTAAACACATCTTATAGATTTTTATCCCTTTAATTGTTATTTGATTCTTATCTCTTTAATTGTTATTTGATATCTTTTCTCTTTTTTTGTCTCTCTCCTTCACTTACATAAAGTGGAATAATTTTATAAGCATAAGAGATATCGCTAAAACATCTTAAATCCACGAGGCTGAATTTATCGTGTTTTACGTAAATGCAGAGGAAATGTTTCACGAACAACAATCGTGACAATTTTATGTCGCGAACACCGAGACAAGATACGATTCTATTTTTCTCAGATAAAGAGATGTGACCGTACGTCCCGTGACCGCTTCTGTCGATAGATTACGCCTACGTAAATGACTAAATTCTTTCGAAATGCGAAAAATTTGACAAACATGAACACTTGTGATAATAAAAAAAATTTAACAGTCGCAACAGTAAAATTTTATTGGAAACTATTGTTGTGTTATCGGCAAGTATTACCGTTATCGCCGCATGATCACGTGCGCTACCGTATCAGAAGCGCTTTTACATTCGCATGATCGTAATTGTTAGTTATTAGCGAGCATTTGCAATATTTTAATTTCTTGCATTTTACAAATGTTTTTCTATTGATATTTATTTTATTTTTTATGTTTTTATTTTATTTTATATATTGTGTTTATAATAACTATGTTTAATTTTTATGTATATTACAAATATTTTCATTCAGCCAAGACATCATTGTCGTCAATAACAACGAGAGAAAGAAAATTTATCTGCAGCGATAAGTTACCCTTACAGGCATCTAACATTGACCGATACTGAAAGACAGTAATTAATAGTCCTGTTTCTTTATTGTTTGTATTTTGAAAGATAGTAATTAATTACTACTCATCTTAAGTATATTAAAAGTATTATTGTTTACTATTTTTAGTAAACAAATAAGTAATTAATTACTGTCTTTCAATAATAAATTGAATAGTATTAAATTTCTGTGAGGGTGCAAGAAAAAAATTTAATGAATCATGCCAATTCTTTAGCCGCTTTTAATTAATCAGCTAATCTCTTAATCAAAACATCGAAGAAAACGAAATAACATTAGGGAATCCGATCTGCCAGATAGGCAGATCGCATCGAGTAATAGTTTTCACAAATCTCACTCATGTAGGCTCCGCAAGAATAGAACCATTAACTAATGATCAATAGATTCTCCTTAAGTGCGGAAAAAGCCACATAATGGAGCACGGGATCGAACTCGGAACGAATTACGAGTCGATTGCATAAAGCGTAAAGCTACTTGACATTTCCAAATTTATTTCTCTTTTTTTCTATATCTGCGTGTCACGGTCTCTTCTTCCATTAAACAAAATTCCTACTTCTATTCATCCGCATGCGCCTTATTGTCACGCTCTCGCAGACCGACCCGGCTGGTCTCACTCTCTCTCTCTCTCTCTTTCTTCCACGAGCAGCGACAGCTTGGCATATAAAGCTTTCGGGACCTGTTGCCGTCAGTACATTCGCTTCGCGCGAGCTGTAACGTAGACAGTGGACTTTCGTGTACACGTCGCTCGAGTCCTCTTTTCGCACGCGGCGATGTTCGGAGTCGTGAATAGGGAAGGGTAGAGATACAAAGGGAGTCTCTATCGAGAATACACGAGATTAACGGAAAGAACGGCGGGAACTAAGCAGATGCATCGCACACGGAGGAGGACCCTCGTGGGCTTTTACCAGATCGGACGCACGATCGGTCTTCTGGCCAGTCTCTGAGAGTAAAGCTCTCGGGGATATCTCCTCGATATCCTCGAAAATCGCATCTTCGTGGTTCGCGAACATCACTAGCCAAGTAGGGTGGAGAGTCCCAAGGGGCAATGAGCCGCGTACCACGTGGTGATACAACACTGTGATCAGCGGACTGTGATATATATCTCTCTCTGTACTACATTATTACATTACCTGCGTACTGTACACACCTCATCGCGGAAAAGACCATCCAACGACACTGTGCGCTATGGCAGAGTAAGTTGATGCATCCCTGGGGTCATTTAAAATCCCTTTTCAGCATTTCCTCTCTCTCTCTCTCTCTCTCTCTCACGCTCATCCTCGCGCTCGCCTTGAAATTCAAGAATTCTGAATGAGTAAACGCGGCTAAAAAAGATGCGCAGGAGTTTATTTCGATACTGACGTGATCGTTCCAGGCTGACAGCACGTGGTGTTCTTGGAGCGGTTTCTTAGGAAACAAGAAGAGAAGACTTCGAGAAGCCTCAGGATGAGAATTAGAGACGCGCTTTTTTTCATGACAGACGTCCCACCGCGAATTCAGTCATTGCGGTATTGTTACACTTATTACATCACGTTACATTCCTCGCTGAGTCACAATCGTTAGATTGGAAGTTAGCAATGCGATACGGTTTCACTTTAATTTCAAGTGACGAGCAATTTCCTTCTTCCTATCTCATCCACACAAAAAATATTATACATACATTTTTATGTTACTTCCCAAAGAAAATAAGAAAATCGAAATAATAATATCATTAATTTGACGTCATATTGACCGATTATTAATCGAGTTTACATCATTTTTTTGTCGTGATCCAGTCAATGTGACATTATTTTAACTTTCTCGTTGTCCTTGGGTTATATTCTTTGCATGCTGAATTTGAAATAGAATCGCCGTAGATTCATACAAATGATCTATGATCGAATACAGTGAGCAGAAATGAGAAAACACAGGGCAAAGTCGACCGTTGTCACAAATGTATACG